TTTAGTTTTTTGTATCAACAAAAATGCAAACTTGTTAATTATTTGTACCAAGTATCTGTTACAAATGGAGTTTTAAAAGCCACAGAGCTGGTAATGTGTTTTATTTCTTACAGCAATGCTGGACATTATAAAAAGATTTGTTCAGTGTAGATTATAGTTGCTGGGGACATTACTTGAATCTATATAATGGGCTTTTGTCTCTGCAGCCGCACTTAATTCCTTCTCGGAATATCAGTTTATTAGGAAGGCACCTGACTTGCTAAAACCAAAACACAGCTGGCCTGCAACTCTCCCTACTTGGATCTACTGTGGGCTTGAATTGTAAAATGTTCAGGAAAGCAGTTAGAAACTCAGATGGCCCCCTTCCCAGTCCTAGTACTGGGATTTATCTCTTGAATTAATGCTAACTTGTCAAAATATTTATTCAAAGCAGCGTTAATACCCACTGCCTTATTCAGAAGGAACCTGTATCTTTGCCATATGTACACTGTTTTATTTAATTAGAAGCCCTATTTATTTATGGTGTTCAACATTATAGTGTATCAGGTGATAGATTCACCTGGGGATCCCTTTTTAAAAGCCACATGTCAACCTGCTGTAAAACATGTTTAACACAGGGACTAAAAGCTGGCCTAGAGGATTAACAAAAACATATATGGCATTTTGGCTATAATTTAATCAAGTGCTAGATGGGTTTTTCACACTCCAGGAGAGCTCTCATATTTACATTTTTTTCCTTTGAATTCTGATACTTCTCTGCAGGTCGTTGTGAGCATGTATACAGCCGTGAAAGGTGCTATATACTGTATGAGAGGATGGGTTTTCAGTGCCATATTTCTTATTTGAAGATAATATAAAGTGCTCGTGAATTTATTTTTAGCCCAAAAGGTCATTAAACAAGAAAGTCTACCCCAGAAAGCTAAAGATGCATAAAAGAATATTATTTAGTAAAAAGCCAGCCTTGGAAAAAAAATCCAGATATTTGTGTGAAATTGCTTGATGCTTATTCTTTGAAATGTGGTCTATAATCAGATGAGTGAAAACCCCTGCTGAAGTCTGATTGCACCCTCCACTCTCCTGCTTACTAAACATCACACTCCTTGGAATTCCGAAGAGGTTTTACAAATTACATATTCCATCTTGCATCCAATTCTCTCACTGACAATTACCGGGTATCTGATGCAGGCATTATATTCAAAGAATATCAAACAACCATGTGATCAAAGCTGTGATTCCAGAAAGATGGAGAGTCTTTTTTTTTAAGTTAAGGGATCTACAGTAGCACTGAAACATGAAGAAGGCAGCAAAACATGTTGTAAATAAGAGGAGGTTGTGCTCGACAAATTTGTTGAAATTCTTTGATGTTTTAGTCATGGTTGATGAAAGCTGAGGGATAGACTGTTTTTTTTTTATAAATCAAACCTTTGACCACATCTTGTATCAGAGAGGAGTAGCTTTTGACTAGAAGTAGCAAGATTAACTAAACTCAAGTTCATTTAAAAAACTAAATGTCCAAAATATTCAGTGAAGATGGGTTTATGTGATCAGCTTTTATGCAGGCTTAGTTATTGGTATCTTGCTGTGAACTCATCTTGTTTGGTGGAATTTGATTCTGTAGTCATGGTGCAGGACTTATCTAGCCAGTAAATACAATAACAATATTGCTTTAGGCTAGAGTCCATCCATTTTCGAACTACTGTCCAGTACAGGCTTGTAGACAGAACTAGAGCTTATCCATGCACAAGGATCCATACACCCTGGATGGGATGCCAGTCCATACCCACACCATGGTTTCCCATTTTCCCAGAAGCCAATTAACCCTCTGTACCAGTATGTCTTTGAAATGTGGGAGGGAGCACTTTGGCAAAAACCCACATGAGCACGCCGAGAACATACAAACTACGCACGCATAGCAACCCTGGTCCAGAACTGAATCCAGGACCCCAGTGCTGCAAGGCAGCGATGCTAACCACTGCACCACTGTGCGTCCCATAGACTGCTGTGTTCATCTGAATTTGTGTCAATTATTTTACTGCTTTATTTTTACATTTTACATTTACATTTTACATTTTACATTTTTCTCATTACCTTGCTTGTTATTCATTGTTAGTTAATATTGGCGTTCTATTCTTTACTTTTTATGGGCAAATAAGTTTCTGCTATAAAAAGTAAAAATCATTGCTACAGGTTATACCAATGTTGGATGTTTACAATAGCCAATTTACTGCATATTGGTAGATGGCTCAAGTGAGACTAAGGAAAAGAATTTGAACGAGCATACAAATGATAATAAATTGGGCACTGGTAATATTTCAAAGAGTTCTCTGCGGGTTTAAGGGAAACATCAGTTCATGATTTATCACTGTTAAGTGTGCAGTCTCTGGGTGGAAATTATGCTTTCCTGTCTTGTTCTCCGCTTCAAAGTAGGCTAGAGGTGTGAATATAAATGAAAACTTTGTGAAATAAGTTGGGAACAGGCTTCATTCCTTTTGAATTGCACTTTTCGGAGGTTGCAAAAGCGATAGTGTTTCTTTATGCATGTAACTGCCTCATCAAACAATTTCAGCAAGCATTAATTATCTATATAAGGAAATCTGTAATCATGTCCTAGTGTTAATAAAGCTGATATTTGTAGGTGACATTCTTTATGTATAAGACAGAAATCATTAGTATAAATGCTTGAGTTCACTTGAGAAACATTGACAGGATATTCAGCTGTGCATATTGTGAATACACCCAGGTGTTTACCACTGTAATGTGCATTGTAGTAATTGTACAGTGGTGCTGCACAGTGCGCTGAGATTGTGTGCCATCCACAAAACATGGTCTGCAAAATTAGAAAAAAATTTTAAGATATCTTTCTCAACTGTACAATTAGTAAAAGGAGGGACAGGAACATCATTAAGAAATACATGGTTCCATAGATGTTGTGTTGATGAACACTGCACTGTTCTGTGAATGCTGAGTTACTATTCCGATCCTGTGGTATTTGCTAGTAAATGCTGAAAACTACGTTTGCTTATAAAAAATTGCCAGTTTCATCAAACTTTAGTGTTAGTCATTTAAAGAAGATATAGGGTGATTGGTTTCTGTTAGAGATCAGATTGTTATAGATGATTAGACAACATGCATAGTCTTAAACATGGATGTTTAACTTGGTCTAAAAGCTGGACCTGATGTTTGTGTCTCTAAAAGCTTATTGTTTAAATCCTTATATTGTATTGCCTTCTGTTGCCTCTGATTTTGTAAAATAACACAAATAGGGAGCTTCAGTCTTCATTCAGCTTAGTAGGATAAACACTCGACAGAGTGATTTTAAATATTTTATTCCACTTTAAGAGTTACATCAAAAGCTTGGCATAAGGGGATTTTTGCATGTGAAGCTCTGTGACAGTACTGCTGCTTTGGGGAAGAATGCTCGTTTAAAAAAAAATCATTTACACATATATTTTTAATACAAATTAAGTTACTTATGCTGTTAACTTAGTTATTTATATGTAAACATGATTGGATCAGTTAAAATTACAGCACTAAATTGTGATGTAGATCTTAATTCTATCATGTTACGACACCAGTTACGACACCAGTATCTGTTCATAAAACCCTGTTCTCTTAGGTACATGCATTACATTATGTAGTCCTGGGGGCTACAAGTCTTGACAATAAATGTACCAGACAAAAGCAAATGATTCATATTGTTTTGTTGTATTTGGGTGACTGTCTTGAGACATTGTAAATCACCGGATTTGAATGAATCTGGACATGAAATTATATCTGTATTGTCTGGTGATGTTCTCTAGTTTGTGTATTATATTACAAAATCATTTTTGAAAAACAATACAGTAATTAACCATAAGAAAAAATTAAATCATTAGAGTATCATGTAGTATGTTTTCTTCCAAATTGTCATAAAGCCTCCCTCTCTATATTTTAATGGGTGAAATCAAGCACAGTTTAAACAGAATGCACTCTTGAGGGCATGTTTAGACTTGCAAATTAGTTATTATGTGAGAATTCTGGGACATTCATGACTGGGGTTGATTTTAATAGAATCGTTCCTTAGATATAATACATTAACTCTGTAAGTATTTGGTAGATTATTTTAAATATTTTGATTGAGGTTTATTATGAGAAGACATGACTGACTGAATCTAGAATGTGTAAGCAATAAGAAAAAATTGCTCCCTGGATTTTAAGTTTGCTTTGCTCACTGTAATTTAGTATGAAATTTTGTTTGCATGATTTACTACCAAAGGGACCATAGAGAGGAAAAAATTTCAAAGTACGAATTAGAGCATAATGTTTATTGAAGGATCTTTTAGAGTTACATAATGCTTTACTTTTAAAAATCATTGTAATTGATGAGTAGTGGCATTTTAGCAACTGAATTCCAAGACAACAGTGCTCATGTTCAGTTAATGTGAGCTTTCTGTTTCACTCTGGATTTTAATACTTTTATTTTTCATAGTTACGGCATTTCTGAATTACAATTTAAACTGACATCACCATGCCTGACATTCTGTTAACGCTGTGCTTCTTCTGACAGCAAGTGTTTTTCAGAATTTACTATTATGGCATTATATCACAGTATGCCGTGAGATCATTTGCTTATTCTTCTGATCTCTCTTTTTTTTTGCTTTTGGCAACAGAAAAGCTAGATTAAGTCAAATTGAAAGAATGCTGTGTCACGGCCGCACATATTTTCAACCTTCATTTTTTTTAACCATACGGTCTAAAATCAAGCTTGTGAAGGAAATGTGTAGCAGAGGTTAAGGGCTTGATAGTTATTGTGTGTGACGCAGGAAGTTTGGAGCCCTTTCTGAAGCACACAATATGATTGAGAATAGAAATAAATGGGTGCTAGGAAATAATGACCAAACTGTCAAGGAGAGTGATTGGTCATCATATCGGGATAATAAATATGGACATGCAGACGTTTCCGTAAAGGTCAGGATGTAATTTGAGTGTTTGTTAATGCCAGCATTACCTTTTCTCGACAGCCAGCTGTGAAGCCCAGGCCTGTCTTTCATTGGATCTAGTCTTGCTGTTGGCATCGGATTGAGGGTCCTGCAGGAGGAAAGAGTGGCAGCAACCTCTGATCGACCTTTCAGCCCAGCCTTCATGTCTCTCATGGACAAACACAAAGTGAAGAGGCAGCGCCTGGATCGCATCTTCGAAGGTCAGACAGCACTGGGGTATTCCATTCCACGGGGCCCAGGAAGGCCAAGGCTTCAGTCACGATCTCTGGCACCTTGCTCGTTTGCGTTTGAATGTTGACAACACATAATCCTCATTTACGCTCTTTGGGCTTAAAACAATATACATATTAGTCTTATGAATGCAATACATTTCTGACACCGACTTGCTCATTTAAAGATTTTAGTTGTGTGATTGGGATGTTTAGAGCAGTGCTTCCAAGGCTTTTTCAGCTCGTAGAAGACTCTTACGATATGATACAATAATACAGATTCCTTAGAAATGTGTTTTGCATCTAAGCAGCTAAGGTTTGCGTAGACAGAGACAAACATGTACAAACAGTACATGTAAGCCACAGATTAAAAAGAAATATATCATTACAAAAAAGACTTCAACGTATGCGTTGTCTTTATGCACCACTCTTACAGGTCTCTGCACAGATTACCAGAACCTGTAAATTTACTCCTAAAGTTTTTCTGGCACACCACAGGATTTTTAAAATAGTCAGCATGCTAACTGCGAGAAATAACATTTATTTGAACCATAGACTATCAATTGTAAGAAGAAAGATTAGGCTTTTTTTACTTGTATTTCAGTGTAAAATGTTGGCTGCTTTGGTGAAGATGACTAGTATTTGGTTCCAAGCTGGTTAAGATTACAGAAGCTCCTGATCTGCCCTTTTTAAACCTCTGTGCTGCAGCACAGGCTGGGAAGCATTGCTCTGGAGGTATCTCTTAATCACTGAAATACAGTTCTTGTATTTCATCCTGGTGTAGAGAATGGGTATGAAGCACAGTATCTTTCACCTTAACTGTGGTCATTGGGAAATGTACATGAAGTCTTTATTGCTGCTTACACAAAAAGAAATGAATTTGGTGTTGCAAGTACATGTGGACATTATCCAAGATGGAATTTGGATGCTGAATCAGATAATTAGATTGATCAGATGTGAGATGCACATTTTTTCTGTTTCTGTAGGGACTATTTCCTATTAATCCGTCTTAGGGAATGTAGTACTCGGAATGTAGCCATTCTTTTTTGCTAGGAACAAGACAGTTGTACAATTGAAGCCTCCTTTCACCATTTGAACCTGGAATTAAATGCATTTTTATTAATAATGAAACCTGCTTTTGGATTTTTTTTAGATTTTCACTAATGTAACCACATTTGTTACAAGATAAAAGGTATTTTTGCCTTGCAGTGAAATAGGGTGGATATAAGCTAAACAAACGATTTGAAGAAATACCGTTCTGGTTTTAGATAAAGATAAAGTATTTTTTCATATCCACCTTTCTAGATTTAGATCTCTTTCAAATCGATAAAGGATTTGATTTGGTGACTTGAATTATAGATGGGAAGTGATCCTGAGGAAGAGCCCTGTGTTCTGAGAAAAGGGGTCAAAACGCAGTGTAGTGTGAAGTCTGTTCTGGGAGTTATGTTCTGACTTCACCCTCAGGACAAGGAGAACTCTGCTTGAACTCCATCTTGGTGTTGCTTTTTTATGTGTGCTGCTAGCCTGGGGAATTTCCTGGCGGAGGATCCATTTCAGTGTTTGACTCCTTGAAATACAGAGAATTACTTTGGCGATTTCTTTTTCTTTGTGTGTAGGTTTGCTTTTTTGTTGTCAAACACTTCAAAGAAATAGGCAAATAAATAGCAAATTACAGATCATGCATTTTCAACTGGTAGTGCTCATTGTAAGCTCTGAACCCCTAACGTTTCCCTTTCAGTTTCAAATATTTATGAATATACCCGACTATACCTCACTACTGTGAATAGCGGAGGGCTGACAATGACTACATTTAAAACCGTTATGCAATTGGAGATCTTCAACATAGGATGGGACTATGATTCTCATTAAGAATTGACACCATTCCATGCAACAGATAACCAAATTGTTGGTATGAAAGGGACTAAGGCTACAGTGACTGTTGCAATGTTGTAGTGCAGAACTAAATGCCAGGGTGGGGGAAGCTACAGTATCAATCAACCTGTGCTCTCTGTGTCTCATTCTGTAGGGAATCTTGAAGTGGAATTGATTCCCAGCAAAGGTCATACCTTCTTCCAGCTTTTCTGCTGTTTGAAGTAGTTCTGGGGGTTTAAAAACTGTTTGGATATCACATGCAGTATGTGCCTGAAGTGTGTATTGTATATACAGTGCCACCCTATTTAAAGGAATACTAAGTGTTGTGAACAAATTTCACCTTTGTGTGTTCTGGACTTTAATTATGACAGATATGACCTAAATGATTTTATGCAATTTGATATTTTGTTTGAATGTTTTCAGCAGCTTAAATGTCTCTGTAATATGATGTTTTTGTTCCATTTCATTATGGGCATGAGTGAATTTGGTGAGCATAATAGATATGTATATAATATATAGGTTTTTCACAAAGTTGACGGAAAAAGAAACTAAAGATTTGTGTTGTTTGAAAGATTTTTTTTTAAAATCTGAATCGTGTTTTTGTGTGTACAACACAAAAATGTCGAGTTCTTTTCAGTTTATATAGAAAAATGCCTTTGTCAATCAGTATCTCTGCAGTAATGAGTGTAATGGAGAGCAAAATAATACTCAATACAAAGATGAAATGGTGCAGATCATCCTCAGGCTGTATTGTCATGGCTAGCTAAGTAAAGAAAAATTGTATCTGAAGTCATATTGTTTCCATTTTACCTTACTTTATTGGTCATATGATCAAGCAGGATTCACCATTAACTGAGGGACAGGAGGGATTTTAAATTCCATTGCTCATTGCTGACGTGTTCTTTTTTAGTGGGCTAGCAAACATGACTGTTTTTGGTTGCTGATAGCCTCACTGTGACTCTTCAGTATGGTTTAGCTCTAGTTAGGGGTGTTACACCAAAGTCACAAAGTCATTACATGCCAATTTAATGACACAAATAACAAATGGCACATGCAGTTACTACTTCATGATGTATTTTGTGCTGTCAAACAGTAGCACATTAACTTCAATCAGCATGCCTATCAGTGAGAAATTATATCATGTTGTAGATTTCTACCCTTTTTCCAATCATTTAATGCAGTGTTTTTACTCTGAAAAACGGAATTGATTGCTTTGGTCCAGATGTTTGAAGTGTTTCAATGTTCATTTAGCCGCCTGTTTAAAGATTGTGGGACATGAATAATTTGTGCAGTCGTGTGAAACGAGCAGAGAGGCTCCTTTCTGCAATAAATGTGAAATAGTTTATTGATTTCTTGTTTTGCTGAGCATATTGTGACGAAACAGTTTCAGGGAGTTTTCAAGATGCTTTAAACACAAGAAGGGGTGTCAGTGCTGCCCTACTGTATCCCTGGACATAGTGTGGAATTAGAGAGGAAACTCTAACTGCTAATAGACCTCTAAACAGGTCACTGTAATTGTATCAACAACCTGCACAGGGACACCCTCTGTATCGTATATACAGTAGATCTAGAGCTGGGTGATAATTCTATAACGATAATTATCTTGATATAATTTTCCTCGATATAATTTTAACAAAAGTTCGATAAATGTCCGATATATATGTTTATGCTTTGCGCATGATATGCGCATGCGCACAACTGCACGAGTGCACGTGTGTGTTGCAGACCGGGCAGCTAACAGATTTGTTTAATGTTTCTGCTGTTTGGCAAGTGTTTGTTGTGTTCTTAAAATAAAGAGTTGTTTAATTTACCAATTAACTGTCTGGTTTCTTCAACTTTCACTCAGGAGAAAAAATCTGCCTTTAAACTTGAAAGAAATAATGATTTGACATTTATCGTGATAATTATCAATATCGACTGATATGAAAATTATTATCGTGATAATGTTTTTGGCCATAATGCCCAGCCCTAAGTAGATCCCCCAGGGACAGTGGCAGAGATGGAGTGTGGGGTGTTTTATGAAAGGATCCAAATAAAAAAAAAAACTGCTGCAAAGACAAAGGGGGTCTTCATTAAAAGACTGTTAATCCTTTTAGCTGTAAGAACATATAGATGATTTAATCCATCTTCACCGTTTGTTTTGTGGTTTACACAAAAGTAAGCATTCCAAAAACACATTAGTGCTTGTCAGCACATTACAGCAATGCAGTGGTCCACCACTTTTTTTTTACCCAGTGTGTTGAAAAATACAGAAGCAGAGGAGCTTTTTAGTTACGGTATTGTTTGGGTATAATATTGGATAATTTTTTAACCATAGGCTCAAATGTCTGTTCTTTTGTGAAAAGAAATATCACAGAAATGTATATCTTAAGAATATAAGAAACATTACAGCCCTTTTAAAAACACAAGAGTGCTTATAAACGAGAGGAAGCCATTCAGCCTGTTTTGTAGTTAATAGCAAATGGATCCAAGGATCTCCTAACTTTAATACTTATTTGATCTGAAGATATCATCCAGCCATTGCTTGAAAGAAGTCTATATATCAGCTTCCAATATGGTTGGGTAGCTTGTTCTAGACTCTCACAGCCCTGTGGGTAAAAGTGTGATACAATCATCAGATCAGAAATGGAAAATTAAAACATGGCATTTGTTTTCAATTTAGTAAATGTTACACAAGCTGCCATGTATCACGAAACCTGTCAAAACCACATTAGAGCCACATCTCCCAGGGACCACACCTGCCAATGAAAAGGAAACTATAAGAAAAACTAGGCAACAAAATGCAAAGCATCATACAAAAATTAAGCTATGTGCTTTTAGAAAATGTGACACTCATTGTGAAAGGTAAGAAGAGGCCTTATTCTCCACTTACAGTTATTACTTGATTAGGAAATCAATAAACTGCATTTTCAGTAAAACAAAAGAATTGTAAATGTAGATTAATAATAGGTAGATATTGTGATGGACACCACCCTTCATTCAGGTGGCTCTTGGGATCTGAGCACATAATAACAATGGAAATAACTGTACAATCCAGGAGGCTTTATTGCTGGGAACCTGCAGCTCTTACAACAAATGAGCTTCCCCCACACTGCTACCAAACCCATCACACTCTACCT